GGGAGGGAGAGAGAACTAGAGGGTGCGGGCAGGGAGACCACTTCACTGAGCACAGGTGGGAATTTTTGTTACTTGTGTTTTGGTGATTTTTTTTTTCATGTGAGATTTAGCTTGGAAGGAGCTGGCTTAGAGCAGAGGAGGCAGAGAATGCTGATCTTTTCATTTCACCAAATGAAATTCATTTTAAGTACTAGAAATTCAGATATTATCGCCCAAACCTGTAAAGACATCTTTTTTTAAATCATTTTGAAACATCTGCACTTCTGGTTATATGTATCTTCTCATCAGTATTATAAAAGATACTGAAAGTGATAGCATTTTAAAGCTGGAAAGAACTTCAGAAACTGAGTTCAACATATTCCTTTTAAAGAAGAGGAAAAAGAATCCCTAAGAGATTAATTTCCCTCCCTCCCCCAAATCCATTGGATAAAACTAGAACTGAGGGTCCTGGGAAATCAGTTTTCTTGAGGGAAAGGAGAAAGTGGACGGATCTATAGCATATGGCAATTTCTCTGGTGTAAATATTCCATTGAACTAGTTACAGCAATGGGCTTATTTATGGCAGAGATTGAGAGGATGGCACAGGGCAAGGGCGAGGTGTCAATCTGTTGAAACTTGTGATCACTGAGTCACCATGAATCATAGCTAATTTGAGGGCACCTAAAACCAACAGCAACATGACAACAAATATTCCTGCCATGAGTGCTTTCAAGCTGCCAGCCATTTGACAACCAGCTCAAAAAATTCCTGTAATTTAATTTTGTGAACCTATTCTGAGTGGGCTTCCAATGTGCCTTTTCTCCAATGTCCACCAGTCCCCCTCAGTCCAGGGTGTTTCCTGAGAGATGAAACCACATTAACTCTTTTTCTATTATTCTTACAAGGCAAATGGAATAGTATTTCAAAGCTTTTATTGACATTTACAACCCAAGAATTTAAAGACTCTTTTGTGTCCTTCTATGAATTTCATGATCTAATTTGGGTTAATTGAAGTGCCTTGAAGAGTCATAAAGCAGCTTATTTCAATTTTCTAAACTTTCTATCAGCAAGCTTCTAGGAGACATTGATATTTCTATCCATCACGGCCTTAGAGGTCAAAGCTTTTACATCAATACTCAAAATTAATCTCTCTCTGCATTTAATTTTTCTTTCCAGTTAGTCTAGCCCCGATTTAATTACTCCAATTCTAAAAATGTACTTTGTACTACTTCTTTGTTTGTAATTTCTAATGTTTTCCACCGTCAGAAATCACTAAACTGGAAACTGCCATCTTCTCATTAAGAGCTGGAATTTGCTGGCTCAATGAAAACGCATTTGCACGTCTGCCTTGGAAAGGTGTAGGATGTTCCCTAGAGGCAAGGATGGTGAAACTTCACCTTACGTACTTTGAGCATGTTGTCCGGAGGGGCCAGTCTGGAAAAAGACATTATGCTTAGAAAAATAGAGTCAGAGAAAGAGAGGAAGACTCTCAGTAAGATGGACGGACACAGTGACTGCAACCATGACTGGGTAGAGCAGGATTGGACAAGATTTCCATATGCTGTTCATAGAGTTACGATGAGTCATATGTGACTGGAGGGCACCTAACAACGAGCATGCACATGCTTTCTAAACCCAGTGAGACCTATTGGATTCCACTGACAAGGACGTCTGGGCAGGTCACACTAGAATCTGTTTACTCTCTATTTAAAAAGCCTTCATGAGAAGACTGGCATCAAAGGAGATATTTTAAAGTTACAAGGTTACAAGGCAAAAGTTTCAAATACTTTTGTTGTTGTTGTTGTTAAGTATCGTCGAGTCACAGGCGACTCATAGTGACCCTATGAACGAAAGTCCTGAACACACCTGTGTAACTTTCATCCTCTCTCCAGGTTCATAGGGTTTCCAGAGGCAAGCTATTATGGAAGTGGATGCCACTCCTGCTTCCAACAAATAGTTTTAGGAAAGTATATATGTAATTTATATATATATGTATTTATATATTTTTTTATATATGTGTGTAATTTTATATCTGCATATTTATATATATGTATGTTTTATATATATGTATATTTATATATGCATGTATGTATATACACACACACTTTGATTTAAAATTCTAGAATTTTTTTTACTCTCATCATTTATTTGATTACAAGTAATGCTGAACACTTTTTTCCCTGCACTCTTGGATTTCATATCTATTTTTGTCATATATATATTTATGTATATTTAATTATGCATCTTTTTCTAATGTCTAGAAAAGCTTTGGTATAGTCGGTAGGGAGCTGCCTTGCTAACATGAAAGCTGTTCCGTTCTATTGCTTTGAATTCACCAGCAGCTCCTCAAGAGAAAGATGAGCAATTTCCTCACTGGCAATTTACTCAATGGAGGGTAATTATAAATCAGTTCTGACTTGAGAGTAATTAGTTTTATTTCTTAAATCATTAGGTTAACGAGCTCATTTCACAGATGTGAACCTAAAAACCCAGAGAAGTCAAGGGATTTGCTCAGGGGCATATTACCCAATAAGAGAGGTAAGCACATATTACTTGTACTACATACTAACAGTTTCATGTGAAACTTTTCACTATAGATTAGTATATAAAGACAGGTAAACCCATTCTACAGATTGTTCTCTCCCCTTCGGGGATTGTAGATTTGAAATGAGACTTCAATTCGGTTGGAAACTGCTGTGGGGTTTGGAGAGACAGATAGCAGCCATACGTAGATGCAGAATCCTTGATGTGTGAAAAATGTCAAATTGTTTAATATAGATTAGTAAGTAAACACAAATTCATGCTTACTTTGCTTATTAGGTATTCTGGCACTGGATTTGCCCAAGGTCAAGAGACAAAGGGGGACATTTTTATCTCCTTTATCAACTCCTAATGGGCTTGCTAGAGATACACTAGCCCAAAAGCTACCCTTTTCTGGTGGATCATTTGCACAAGTGGGTCCCAGAGAGAAGCACAGATAATCTCTTCCTGTGTGATTCACAGCCTTGGAAATCCAATGGAAAGTGAGCTATGAATCGGTTCTAACTGGACATTAATCACTACCTGGAGTTTTGAGGTTTTATCAGCTCAGTACACTTGACATTGCTGTCTGGGGCTAAGTTCTTGGTTTCTCTTTTTTTGTCAGTAATTTTCCAAGCTTCAGAAGCCTTGACTGAAGTAGCTCTACTTGGGACATGATTAAATCCAGCAAGAAGCAAGGTGTGGCTGCAGATTAAGAAACTGGAGGATGGATGAACCTTTCTCGTGTTGACCAAATATTTTAATTTAGAATTTTGAAGTCTTCAGTTAACTTATGTACAACTTACCAAGATTCTTTTCACCTTTGGTCCTGAACTGAAGAAATAGATAATGGACCCTGATTTGGCACATTCCTCTTCTCTCGCTCTCTCTTTCTCTCTCCCCTCCCCGTGTGTGTGTGTGTGTGTGTGTGTGTGTGTGTGAGAGAGAGAGAGAGAGAAAGAGAGCGAGAGAGAGCGCACACTCATGTGTGCACAAGTAAGACTTTCATAAAGTATTACTTAAACTGTGAATGTATTCAATAACTTACAAATCCATTTTCAGCAACATACGTAGGCAACCCACTAACGAAAGTCCAGTGGTCCGCAGGGGGTGTCCTTTAAGAAGAGTAAAAGAAAGAATCATTGTTAAACAGGCAAATGTTACAAAGGTAAGAATGACAACTCGTGTGGCCACTTCGTTTCAGTACTCACGGGATCACTTTGATCTCTTCTTTTCCATGTAAAATGTAGTCAATGACTTTATAAAAGTTTATTTCCTAAGGGGAGAAAGGGAGATGGTGAGAATACTATTATTTTCCATGGAAAACATTTCTAGTTGAGGACTTTATAATTTAAAACATCAATTCATCATTCTATTAACATCATTTCAAAAAGGATCTCCCTAATAATATTTTCTCCCTGCAGAAGAAAAATTCTCACACCTGAGTCCTTCCCCTGCGGTTGGAACCAACTCAACCCTGAGCCTCCAGCACGTTTCTGAGAATGCAAACCACACAGGAGGAGAGATGGGCCATCCTTTTCCCATCGAGCTGCTGGTGGATTCAAGCCACCAGCAAGTATTTCTTTGGGTTCAGCAGCCTAAGGAACTACACTACCAGAGCTCCTTTAATAGAAATGATCAAGCTTAAACTAAAAATGTTATTGTCTACTTAGACACAAACTTTCATTTTTAGGAGTTGAATTCAGTCAAACAGCTTTTGGAGGTGGGGAGGAGAGGTGGAGGATCTTTAGCTTTCAAATCACCAGCTAGTCTATGTGTTTGTTAACACTGTTAATGGGTTCCTTTCTGTTGTTTAGAAAGACCTTATAGTGAAAACTTCACTAGAACAAATCATGTCATTTCTCCACCTTGGTTAATGTTTCTACTTCCATTTGTACAATGAAAACCTGAACCCCCTCTGTTGCTGTTGATGATGAGTACCAACAAGCCGGCACACAACCCACAGCTGACCTGCCTGTGGTTTCCTCAGGCCATAAATCATACAGGAGGAGACTGCCTGTCTATCTCCTGTGGAGCAGCTGGTGGATCAGAAGCAGCACAGCTTCTTATCGCTAGGCCACCAGAGCACTTTTAAAGTTCTGGTGGCCTAGTGGCAAAAAGCTGTACTGCAATCCTGAAGGCACACAGTTTGACGCCAGCAGCTACTCCACAGGAGAAGGATGGGCAGTCTCCTCCTTGCAATTAACTGTCTCTGAAAACCTATCCGAGCATCGGCTATGAGTTGGTTCCGACTCTGTGGTACACAACAACAACAGCACTGGCTAATTTAAACAGGTTTCTCCGAAAAAAAGGATCCAACCAACAGTCAAAATTGACAGGGACTTGAGAAATAGTTCATCTGTTTCTTTTGGCAGATGATGAAGCTAAGGCCTAGACACATTCCATCCCATGACCTTCCCTCTGCTGTGTGCTGGGATGCTGTGGTGAGTAACACAAATACAAGTCCTGGGAGAAACGAAACCTAACTCAATTATTCCCTGGAGATTTCAGTTCTGTAGAAGGGCAATTGTGTGTGTTTAAAAAGCTGCTCAAGAAGCTTTGATGGATTCTTATGTAGTGGTAACCACTGATCTACCGACCTTGACTCTACAGGACACAAAAATGGTAAAGGCAAAGGCTACCCAGGTGGCTTGGGACACAACTAAAACTTGAACCTCAAATTCCTCATCCAGAGCACTTTCTGCTTCTCCAGGATCTCAGAGACTGCCAGGATCCCAGGGCTTGCCAGGCCAGCATTCATTTCTCAAAGCATCATTGCCTCGTAATGTTAGCACCTGAACACCATAGAGATATTATCAAGGACCATGGTTGCACTTACTCTGCCATCTGGTGTCTTTGGCCCTTTATAAGGCTCAGCTTCTCCAAGTTTGATTGGCCATTCATCATAGAATTCCTGGAGAAAATTATATTTAGCATTATATGATGTTTAATTATACTATGCTGTGTCATTATGTGCTGTTAAGTCACCTGCAACACATAGCGACGCTATGTACAACAATTCTGAAGACTGCCCGTTCTGAGCCAGACTCACTGACTCTGGCACACTTAATCCCATCGACCCAGTTATTGTGTCAATCCATCTCCTCTGTTATCTTTCTCTCCTATGCTGTCCCTTTACCTTTCCAAGCATGATGTCCTTCTCCAGGGACTGATCCCTCCTGGCCACATGCCCAAAGTATTTAAGACGGAACTTCAAAATCATTGCCTCCAAGGAAAAATTTGGTGCACCCTCTCCAAGACAGACCTATTTGTTCTTCTAGCAGTCCAGAGAATGTTCAGTACTCTTCTCCAGCACCACAACTCAAAGGTATCAATTCTTCTTCTGTCATCTTTACTTATTTATTTACATCCGGCTTTCTGGTGCATAGTATATAATTGGGAAGACCATGGCTTGGATAGGGCACACCTTAGTCATTGTTCCTCAGCACTCTGGAGAAGCCCCTGACAGGAGACTTCATCAGTGCAACTAGGTGGGGTTTTTTTGTTTTTGTTTTTTGTTTTGTTTTTTTTTTCCAATTTCCTGACTGCTTGTGCTAAAAGTGTTGATTGTAGAGCTGAGTAAGATGTAACTGTTAACAACCTCAATCTCTTCTCCATATATCATGAAGCTGCCAGTTGGCCCAGTGGTGAGAATCTTTGTCTTCTTGATGTTTAGCTTCATTCAATCTATATTGAAGACTACAGTTTCCTTGACCTTCTGCAGCAAATGCTTCAGGTCCTCCTCAGTTTTGGCAAGCAAGGTTGTGTCATCTGCATAGTGCAAGTTGTTGATGAGTCTTCCTCCAATATTGATGATAATATCTTAATTTCTTTCACCATTGCATAATGCATGCTATCACTTACTCTTTTGGGTTCTAATGTGTAAGAGAGTATGAGATGACACAGAATAGGGAAGGACAGGGAAGGGTTCAGGTTGGCTGTTCATAAGGTCGTTATGAGTCATACACAACTCCATGGAAACTAACAACATCAACAACAACAATAATAAAAAGACAAAATGTATTATATAAACTAATTGCACTAAGTTGGGTTATTATTGTTTAGCAATAAATAAATCAATATTTTATTCTATAGTTTGTATTTTATTACAATATCATATTAATTTATAAGTATATTTTCTGGAAGATATATTTAACATATGCTTTTATATTTATATTCTGTTCTATGACTCCATCTCATTGGAATTTTATCTGTTTTCATATTTTGTTTTAAAGTATGTGATATAGGCATTTTAGAGGCAGAAAAGAGCTTCCCAGAGATACTGCTTATCAACTAGTGACTATGAATAATCAATTTCATCTTAATTAGGGATAGTAATAGAATTATACCTAAAGAGTAAGTATCCACACTATAAAGAACAATATATAAGAAACCCTTATCTGAGACATAGTTAAAAGTACTCATTATAGCAGCTCTTCATAAACAATCTAAATACATGTATGTTTAGAAGTAAGAAGCAAGACCAAGGTCATACATACCGGCCAACACTGTTGGCTGGCTTACCCAATATTCATTTTTCCCCATGTTTTTTGCTAACAGAACTAGTACATGTTTGACACTCTTTATATATAATATCTTTAATCCTTACAACTGATGACATTGACATCCTTATTTTCTGGATAAGGAAATCAAGAGTCAGAGAGGTTAAAAACAAAGTCTTGTTGGACACAGATATCCAGGAAGTGGCAAAGCCAAGATCCAACCCTAAATCTTTTTTAGTTCCAAAATACATGCTTTTGCCTTTGCAACATGCTTTCTTGACTATTGGTTCTTGTGATCTACCATGAATGATTATCCAAATGTTGTTGTTGTATACTGTGCAGTCAGAATCAACTCATAGCTGACCTTCCAGTGGGTTTTCAGAGACAGCAAATGGCATGGGAGGAGATTACCCATGGTTCTTTACAAGGAGCAGCTGGTGGATTCGAACCACATGCCTTCGGGTTCATAGTACAACTCTTGTAATGGGTCTGTTCAGATGTTCAGTTTCAGTCTGTGTCAGTTTAGGTAGGTTGTGTTTTTCTAAGTATTTGTCCATTTCCTCTAGATTTTCATATTTGTTTGAGTATAGTTTTTCATAGTATTCTAATGTTAGCTTTTTTGTTTTAGTTGGGTCTGTTGTGATGTTGCCTGATTCATCTCTTATTCGGATTATTTGTGTCTTCTCTCTCTTTTCTTTTGTGAGTTTTGCTAGTGGTTTTTCGATTTTGTTGACCTTTTCAAAGAACCAACTCCTAGTTTTGTTGATAGTTTCAATTGTTTTTCTGTTTTCTATTTCGTTTATTTCTGCTCTTGTTTTTATAATTTCAGTTTTTTTAGAGGGTGTCGGGTTTTCTTGCTGTTCTTTTTCAATTTGCTGGAGATATTGGGTTAGAGAGTCAATAGTCTGTTTTTCCTGTCTTTTGATGTGTTCATAGTGCAACTCTTTACAATCTAGGCCACCACAGCTCCCTGCTTACTTAAGCAGCTTATCTATTTTCCAGTGTCTCACATTTCATGTCTTTTATAGGTGATTGTAGGGGAGGCAAAAATTTATGAAACAAGGACCTTCTCTTTGGTCATGTCCAGCAGTCCGATGGAGTACCGCTCACAGTTGAGGTACGTTCTAACTGTGTAGAGGGCTTTGTGAAACTGTCGCTCAACGTCAGTGAGCTCTTCAAAGACTTTGTTGGCTGACCACATAAGGATCTGAAAGTAGATAATAACAAGAAAAGAGAACAAAATGCTCAAAAATGATATAGAGCAACACAATAAAGTAATAGAACGTTTGACAGAAGAAAGAAAAAGTGCATTAATAAAATACATAATTTGAAAATACATTCTTTCTAGTCTATTTTGAACATGTGTATATCCAGCAAACTACTCAGATTCTCTGAATCAGATGACTTGGGCCATTGCAAAGCTATTTATGAAGGAGAGGATGGGTTGAGGTGAGGAAGAAGGAGGTTGGGCTCCCATGTCCAAATATTTTTACTCCAAATAGGAAATTCCAGGAAATGGGTGTAGAGACAACCCCTAGGCAAAGAACCCACTGACTCTGGTTGGCCCCAGGAGAACAGTGATAATATGCTTCCTTCAATGCATCTTGAACAATGTCCACTAATGACTCTCAAGATAGAGTAGCTTTGCCTTATAAAGTTTCTAAGGCTACAATCATTGTGGAGACAGACCTCCTTATCTTTCTTCTGCCGTACAGCAGGTGGTTTAATCACAGAACTTTCAGCTATCAGCCACTCTAACTAATGTGCTATCAATGCATCGCCAGAGCGCCTATCCTGGGCTAGTTGGAGGTAAATTTACCTGGGAAGTTAGAATGGAAGGTACCTTGAAAGTCCTCCATCCTAACCCTCCTTCTCTCATTTCACGGATAAGAAAATTGAGTTCCAAAGAGTGGGTCAGACTTGAATATCCTGAGTACCAACGTTGTGTTCTTAATCCCTATGCTTGATGAAGGTAATGAACTTCAGAGAAGTGATTTCTTCCTCAAACTAATAACCTTATGATGTATCAGGAACAACTCATCATTTTACATAAACTAATTCATCTCATAACCTTTCCATAGTCACCACAACCATGGGAGGTACTTCTATTATCCTCATTATTTCATAGATGAAGAAACCAAGGTCACCCAGGATATAGACAAGAAAGCCATCCAGTCACATGCACAGATGAAGTAAATGTCACACACATGTAGTGGCACTTCAGAGGCTCACCTGCACTACCCCATGCATATCAACATTTGCAATTAATTCCTGAAACCAATTATTTCCGGTTCCAATGAGAAACTGGACATAACATGAAAATAAATCTGCTGTCAGATCCTTTCGTGGAAATGGAATTAGGGAGAGAAGGAAATCACAAAAGAACCTTTGGGACTGATAGTTGAGGGGAATCTGCTCCTTGGGGCTCAAATGTCATTGAAGGAAGAGGAGAGGTCTGGCTTTGTTGATTCTGGACCTTTTTCCAGAATAGATCAACTCAGGATGATTAATGTAACTTTCCCTTTACCTGGCTTCTTCGAGATTCAACACTGTACAGGTAGTTGATATGATGATGTTTTAGGACCATAGCGACAATATTTAGGTATTTGGCGAAGACCTACAGAGCAGAGAAAACCAAATTATCATTGTGACACCTTTCTTCTATTGTACAAAGAGAATTCCCACAACTCTGACTGGAGGCCCACAGTTGACATTACCTCTTCATCCTGTTTAGAGAATTCAGATGCGTTTACTTTGTTGAGAGCCATGATTACAGCAAGAACCTCCTTGCCCATCACGATGGGAGTTGCCAGCAGATTCTTAGTGACATAGCCAGTTTGCTTGTCCATGGAATCCGAAAAATGGTTGTTCTGAAAGATAGAGTCACACGTTTGCCAAAGTCACACTGGGTGAGAGATCCAGGAAGGTGCAGGATCGTTTTTTCCCAACTCTCTGCACCTTACAGACAGATCTAGCACAGAGAACCTGACCAAAGGGTCCACCACAGCCCACGACTGCACAGTCAAGAAAATGTGTAAGTATTAACCTTTACTTGGGAGAGTGTGGGAGTCCAGGAGCTCCCAGGTGAGGAGAGACCAGCAGCAGTGGCAGCAATGGGAAGCAATTGCGTGGCAATGTATGTATGTCCAGGGGCAGTACTTCAATATTATATGATTGGTGAGTCCATCCTGGTTTGCTCTGGCTGATTACCAAGCCTGTTTTTAACTTTTAGAACCTGTGTTGACTTTTGAAAACTCAGCTGTTACGTTATTGCTATTCATTTATTCAACAAATATTTGTTGATCACGCACTCTCCATATGACTGTCCTAGAAACAATGATGAATAAAGTTATTTCTTGCAAAAGAGGAGAAAAACCAGAAAATGTGTCTAATGGAGTCAGATGTCATCCCTTACCTCTGATCTTCTCTCTTCCATTCAGAAGGTCTAAGAACATATAATGTTCTTAACATTATATAACACACACACACACACACACACACACACACACACACTGACTTAGAAAGGTCTGGAATCAAACTTCCTGGGCTGACACCAAACCCTAACTTTACTAGCTGTGCGATCTTCAGTTTATTACTTACCCTTTTACGGCCTTGTTTTCTAATCTGATAATGGGAAGATTCATAGTATACTTAGCATAAAGATGGATAGGCCACTTAAAAAAAAAAAGAAGAAGAAGAAGAAGACACACAGTGGGTGTTCAATTAATACTGGAAAGCAAAATCTGGGACATTTTGGGAGCTTCCCTGGGAGAAAAGTATTCTCTTCCCCTCCTCATCCATCCCCTCCCATTCCCTCCACTCCCCCCCTTTTCCCTTTCCTCTCTTCTATTCTTCTTTCTCTTCTTATTGGTGATTAAAGTAAATATAACAAAGCACTTGTCATTTTAATAATTTTCTAAGTGTACAAATAAGTTGATTTCATTTACCAGAGCCATTCTGCTCCTAAGTGCCAGGTTTTCGAATCAGTCCTCCTCACTGTGTTCTCCACATGGGTGCCTGCTGGGTGCAGGAGGACACTTGTAGCACTTTGTCCCATGCCCTCTGAAGTCCCATCTCCCTCCGGTGCTGCCTTTCACTCCTCCTGCTGTTTTCTGTGGCTTCTCATTCTTATTCCTGGATGTCTCCAGACTTGCTGAAGGTTGTTTCCATTAAGCCATGCTCGCCTAGGCCAGCTCGCATTCTGTTTTCCCCCTACCCTATTATCAGTTATGCATCCTGTTTGCTTTCATTTACACAGCAATCCTGAGCTTTAAAGGAACAATCAAAATACCAGAAACATATACTGTGGGATGAAGCCAGGTAAGCATTTCTTTACAAATACATTTCACTCGGCAGCTTCAAAACGTGACGCCAGCTTTACTGCAGATTTTAAGCACAAAGAAATGTTCCTAAATTAAATTAGCTCTTTCGAGAAAATAAATTATCCATTTCAAAAGCTAATGCTTGCTTTGTCCTTGCATCTGAAGGCCCCGAGGCAGCCATCTGTCAAATTACAGGGTAGAGGAGTCTACCAGAACACGGGAGATGGAGCTTTCTAGTTTTCCATTTTGAATTTTCACTCATGCAAACCATCCTTACTGAGATTTCTTTGAGTCAATGCTATGCTTCATGGGCTCTCAAACTCCCCACATGGCCCTTCTTCAAAGAAACCCCTGAACAAGGCTTAAAAAAAAATTTAGAGCAGTAAGACGCCGAGATGCCTCATCCTGTCTTAGATTTGCTAAATCCTGATTAAACAGCGCTAACCTTGGAGATCAGAGGGCAGAACGACAAGAGGGAACAAAAAGGAGGGAGCAAAGGGAGCTATCAGGATCCAGTCAATTATTAAATATGCGGGGCTTCCAGTTAAACCACAGCCAGAGGAAAGACCACCCAGCTGGTGAACTGACCATATTGAAAAAGAAGCAATTGACTCAAATGTCTTTGTTTCCTGCCATTCATTCATAAAGAAAAAATGAGCTTTTTCAAATGTGTGAACCTGGAAGATATTATATTGTATGATTTCATATTTATCAAATTACATTGCTGTTGTTAGGTGCCGCTGAGTCGATGATGACTCATGGTGACCTTATAAACAACAGCTCTGACCTTTACCCTATCCTGCTGAAAACCTTATGAAATCACTCACATACACACTCACACACACACACACACACACACACACACACACACAAACTGTTCATCACTTGTTGACTTGTTGCCAAGGATGGGGGTATAGTGATGGACAATAATTCCCTAGATAGCAGACACCTTGAATTTATGATGATGCAAACATTTTCACTGAATATGGGGGAGGCAGGCACAGCTTGACCAACGTAACTGACACCACTACGTTGTGCACAAGAGGTGAATTAATTGGTAGAAAGCGGTGTTACATACAATTTCACAACAACAACCAAGAAAAAATGTAAAAGTTGTTTTGTTAGACGCCGTTGTGTAAACTACGACTCATGGTGACCCTGTGAACAACAGATGTGAGTCTTGCCCAGGCTTGTGCCGTCCTCGTGATCGCTGATACACCTGAGCCCATTGATACTGTCACTGTGTGACTTGTTAAGAGTCTTCCTCTCTTTCTCTGACCTTCCACTTTTCTCACCATCACATATTTTTCTAAGGACTGGTCCCTCCCGACAACACCCCCCAAGTATGTGAGATAAAGTTTTACCACCCTTGCCTCCAAGGACATCCTGGTTGCTCTTCCTCCAAGGTAACTTATATGTTCTTCTGGCCGTCCATGGGGTAGTCAGTGCTCTTCTCCAACACCACACTTTAAAGGCATAGATTCTTCTATCATCTTTATTCATTAAAATGTAAATTGTTGTTGTTATGTGCCATTGAGTCATCTGCAACTCATAGTGATCCTATGTACAACAGCTCTGAAGCCTGCCCTGTCCTGAGCCAGTCTCACTGACTCCAACACACCTACTTCATTGCCCTAGTCACTGTATCAATCCATCTCATGCAGGGTCTTCCTCTCTTGCACTGCTCCTCCACCGTTCCAAACATGACGTCCTTCTCCAAGGATTGGTCCCTTCTGGCCACATGCCTACAGTATGTGAGATAAAGCTTCAAAATCCTAGCCTCCGGGGAGATACTTGGTTTCACCCTCTCTAAGACAGATCTATTTGTTTTGTTGGCAGTCCATGATACGTTCAAGACTCCTCCAGCACCACAACTCAAAGGCATCAATTCTTCTTCTGTCATTCTTAGTCATTATCCAGCTCTCCGATGCATAGCAAGTAATTGCAAAGACCATGGACTGGATCAGGCACACCTTAGTCTGTAGAGTGACATTGTTGCTTCTCAGTACTCTGGGAAGGTCCCTGACAGCACATTTACCTAATAAAATTCGCCTTTTGATTTCCTGACTGCTGGTGCCAAGAGTGTTGATTATGGAGCCAAGCAAGCTATAACTGTTAACAGCAAGCAAGCTAAAATTAATAACATGTTAATAGTTATATGACTCAATCTTTTCTCCATCCATCACGGTGCTGCCAATTGGCCCAGTGGTGAGAATCTTTGTCTTCTTGATGTTGAGTTTCAATCCATATTGAAGACTACAGTCCTTGACCTTATGCAGCAATATAAATATACGTATTATTGGTTTTGTGTACCATCGAGTCGGGCAGTGAATTGCATGAGAGGAGTTGAGCCATCTCTCTTCTGTGGAGCAGCTTGTGGATTTGAACCACATACCTTTATATTGTCTGTTCAATTCCTTACCACTAAGCCACCAGAGCTCCCTATAGAGATATCAGAACTCTGGTGGCCGAGTGGCAAGAAGCTATAGATAATAAATTAAGGAGATCTTACAAAGGTTGGTACTTCTTTACCATAACCAATTGCCTCTGAGACTTGTTTTCTTGGTTCGAAGATTTAGGATCTTAGTTTCATGGGATAATTCAGTCAATTGGCACAATATAACTGAAAAGGTTTATGTTCTACATCTTGGTTTTGTAAGTAGTCTCTCAGGCCTTAAAATCTTTCAAGTGGTCATCTGAAGTACAGTGACTGGTTTCAATTTATCTGAAGAAAATGAGCAAGAAGGAATCCCAAGAATCAGAGAAGAAAGTGGATTGCAAGATCCACTGACTCTATGAACCACAGACTTCTCTATCTTGAGACCAGAAGAACCTGAAGATGCCCACAGAGCAACTGGCAGGTTTGAATCACTAACCTTTCAGTTGGCAAACCAGCACTTGATCCACCATGTCACCAGAATACTCTTATATAATAGATGGAAAGAAGTATATCCAAAAGCCTTCATTCATGCTGTGTCCCAATGAAGGAAGAATGAGGCATCAGTTACCACCAAGTCAGTTCCAGCTCATGGTGATCCTGTGTGTGTCAGGGTAGAACAGCACATCACTGAGTACTCAACGGCTGACTTGGGGGAGCAGATTGCCAGGTCTTTCTTCTGAGTCTCTTTAGATGGATGACAACTTTTAAAAATATCTAAACTGTTTGCACCACCAAGGAATATCAAGAAAGGCTAATTCAACATTTCTTTTAAACGTGGGTTTTTGTATTCATCAAAGATTTGACATCAGCAAATAACATGTGCCAACACTGCAAGATAGTGGGGTAAGGTGAATAGAGGGTGTGGGAGCAGCATTAGAAACCCAAAGATCTACCCCAGGTCTTCCTGGTCACTGATGTACTATACGGTCTCTCGGAATGGGTGCAGAAAAGGAATTCCTCTGTACTCTGGTCTGCCAATGAAAAGAGTTAAATAATTTCTAAACTCTTTCTATTTCTAGCATTCCACTGTTTCTTTCCTCTTGTTACATCTGCTCACCCTCTAGGTCAGTGGTTTTCAGCATATTAGAATCACCCAGGGAGCTTATAAAAGCTAATGTTTAGGTCCAAATCCTGAATTTCTGTCATGATTGGTTCATTGACAATGTGGCCACGAGTATTTAAAATAAACAAAATTCTCCATTTTATTTCAATGTGTAGCCAGGGTTGGAACCCACCACTCTGAAAGTCTCTGTTATTGTTATTAGGTACCATTGAGTCGAGCATGACTCATAGTGATCCTATGAACAACAAATCTGAACCCTGTCCTATTCTGTGCCGTCCTTATAGATTCTGATGTACTCAAGCCCATTGCAGCAATCACTGTATCAGTCCATCTGATTAAGAGTCTTTTCTCTCTTTTGCTGACCTTCCACCTGTCCAAGCATGATGTCTCTTTCCAAGGAACAGCTTCGCCTAAGGACTTGCCCAAAGTATGTGAGATGAAACTTTGTCATCCTTGTCTGCAAGGAACATTCTGGCTGCGCAGTCCATGGGATATTCACTCCTCTTCTCCAGCACTACATCTCAAAGGCATCACTTTTTCTTCTGTCATCCTTCATCATTGTCCAGCTTTCTGATGCATAGCAAGTGATTGAAAAGGCCGTGGCCTGAATTATGCACATCTTAGTCCTCAAACTTGCATCATTGCTCCTCAGTAATTTGGAGAGATCCCTGACTGCAGACTTCCCCAACAGAACATGTTCCCTAATTGCTAGTGCCAAGGGTGTTGATTGGAGATTCAAGTAAGAAAAAGTTGTTTACAATTTCACTCTTTTCTCCAACTATCATGAGATTGCTTTTTGGTCCAGTGGCGAGAGTTTTTGTTTTCTTGATATTGAGATATCATGCATATTGAAGCTATAGTCTTTGAGCAGCAAGTGTGTGAAGTCCTACTCAGTTTTCAGCAAGCAAGCTGTGTCATCTGCAAAATGTATGTTGTTGATGAGTCTTCCTCCAATCCTGACACTACATTCTTCTTCAAAGAGTCCAGCTTCTTGAATGATTTGTTCAGCATACACATTGAATAGGTATGGAGATAGGTTACAACCCTGATACTACCTCTCCTCTCCTGCTGTTGCACAGCTGCTCCACAGGAAAAGGATGGGCAATCACCGTTCATGAGATTTACTGCCTCTGAAAACCTACCAGAGGGTCAGCTATGGGTTAATTTCAACTCAATGGTAAACAACAACACAGCAACAACAACTACGTGGTACAAGAGGAGAGGTCCCTGAGTAAAGACTTGCCCAGGGCAATACATCTTCTGATCCCCAGACTACTAGCACCAAGCATATTGATTATGGATCCAGGCAAGATAGAGTTATTGATAGTCTCAATCTTTTTTCCATCTATCATGATGTTGTTTATCATATCAGTCCAGTGGCTAGAATTTTTGTTTTATTATCTTTGAGATGTAATCCAAATTGAAGATTGTAGTCTTTGATCTTCTGCAGCTAGTGCTTCAAGTCCTCCTCACTTTCAGTAAGTAAGGTTGTGTCATTTGCATTATGAAGGTGACTGATAAGTCGTCCTCCGATCCTGATTGTATTGGGTTCAGAATGCATCGGTTTCAGGACAGGGTTCAGATCTGTTTGTTGTTCATAGGGTCACTGTGAGTCATAGTTGACTTGACAGCACCTAACAACAACAAAGTGGTACAAAAGATTAGATTCATACATTTGGCTGCTAATCAAAAGGCTAGAGATTTGAGTCCAGCCAGAGGCACCTTAGAAGAAAGACCTGGTGATCCACTTACAAGACATCAGCTGTTGAAAATCGTAGGGAGCTTAGCTCTACTCTGATATGCTTATAATTGAGATCACCATGAGTTAGAGCTGGCTTAGGTGGACCTGGTCTAAGTGGGATAAATGGAGACTCAAGCACACAGAGTGATTGTCTTCACTAGCATATTTTACACCTTCTCTCCCACCTAGAACAGCCAGGAGTCTTCAGAGAGGGAAAAGGTGAGTTGTAACACTCCCTGTCTATCAAGATATGTTCTGTGTTCGCCTTGCCTGGGAACAGACCGAAGCCCTCGAATCTTATAAGCAGTTCCATTAGCGTACATGATGCATTCTGTGAAATAGGATGCTAGATGATGAGTATGTTGTGTGAGCATGCCTAAATCACTAGCAGTAACATTCCTGATTTTCCATCTTCATGTTGTTTGACACCTTTTCCTTTTACTCCCAAATGGATTCTTTGCCTTTGCCTCTTGCTTCTGCTGAGATTAGCACCAGTTTTGCTGCACTGGGGAGCCATGAAGCGCTTGACAATAATATTTTCTAAAGAAAAATAAAGAGAGAGGATGTGTGGTATGCAAGATTGGATGCTGCTGCCTGAGTACAAGCATATACACTGTGATAGGGTAGACTTTTATTTGCAAATAGGAAAAGTTCACATTAAAATAACACCAGAAAGTACAGTATAAAAATACATGAACTAGTAACACAGGTATTTGTTATGACTATTAAGACATGTATTACAGGTTATATGTGCATTGTACCATTACATAACTAGATATGCAATCACTATGCACGTCAGAGGCATGAGATATGTTGTGTGTGGAAATCTGGTAAGTCCAGTTACATCTCTATGTACCGTTCTCCATCAAGGTTCATGGAATTACAGATGTGTTTGTGGTTTCTTGCTGCCCAAACAAGGATTATATGGTGTGTGACTATAAATTATTTTCTCCTTAACACAGAGTATTGAGCTTATTAACCAAGAATTACAGAAGAAATAATTCTTGGCCATTTCTTCTTTTTAATAAGGGAGTTATGGTGGCCTAGAGGGTAAAGAAGAGGCTCTGAGGGAGAAACATGGGCAATCTCTTCCTGTGCAATTTATTGTTGTTTTTAGGTGCCATCAAACTGAGCATGACTCATAGTGACCCTATAAACAACAGATCTGAACCCTGTCCTATTCTGTGCCAACTTCTGACACACTTGAGCCCATTGCTGTAGTCACCATGTCAATCCCCCAGGTTTGAGGGTAGTTCTGAAAACCTACTGGAGACCAGCTATGAGTTGGTTGTGACTCAACAACAATGTACAACACAACAACTTTTAAAAATATTTAGGGGAGAAAAATGCCTCCATTATCACCTTCTTAATGTAATACCCTAGTAATTGTGGAAGGACCTTCAGTGAAACATGAGAAGAAGCATATTTGCAAGAGACGATCTCAGGGTGTGTAAACACAGCCTCCCGACTGGGGATCAGAGAACTTTGCCTTGAGGACACATGTTAGCTTTGTCACTTCAAGCAGTTGCAGTCTGCCTCCTGAGCAAGCTGAAACTGGCTTAAACTCCCTTACTGGAAGGTTGTAAAGGATGGGGACCTGTAGTGCCCAGCAGGAACCTTGAACCGAGGGGTGTCTGCTGGCTGTTGCATGTTGGTAATGTCTGCCCCTCTTGGTCGGGGCACCTCTCCTCCCTAATCAGCTTCAGGAGGCACCTGGGGATTATCCTCTCGCTGCCCCTGCTTGAGCACTGGGACCCGCCCTTCCCCGCCATGATCCAGTTCTCCTTTCCTCCCTAAGAAAATCAAACCAGTTGCTATCAATCCACCCTGATTCATCCGTGTTGGAGTAAAACTGTGCTCCAAAGGACTTCCAATGGCCAATTTTTCAGAAGTAGACCACTCAGACCTTTCTTCCAAGGGGCATCTAGGCAGATTCACACTTCTAATCTTTAGAATAGCCATCAAACTTGTTAACTGTCTGCACCACCCAGGGCCTCCTTTCCCTCAGAGAAAGTCGTCAGCATGGGTAACATGGTCTAGATAAAAGACCAGAAGGGGAAGCTCCAGGCTGGTACCTGTAGTTACATGAGTGGAGGGATTAGAAAGGATTTGCATTTTCTCCTTTTGTTTATTTGTGTTTCACAGCAATTTTTAAAAAGTGAATATGCATTGCAGCTTAAAGGAGAAGAAACAGTTAAACATTTTTAAAAACATAAGCACGCCTTGCACTTGTGCAGTGTGCTGTTTGTCTTCAAGAGAGTCCGCATGTTTGGAATGCATTTTGGACAATTGAGGTATTGGCTGGGAGAGCAGGGAGTATCTGGTGAATTTGCACTTAACCATCACCTACAGTCACACTGCTAATGATCCAAGTTTGAGTATCTGACTTTTCCAACAGTATCACTTTTCTGGTTTTGCACACTGGTTCTGTGAATCCATTTATAGGCCAATCCATTCCAAGAACTGAAGGTTGGGAAACAGAAGTGTAAGGAGCAGTTCGTAAATCCTGGATTCTTGGCTGCACTCTCCAGTGGGGAGAGGAGGTGGCTTGCTTTGCTGATGTTCAGAAAGAAAGACTCTCCTCGATTCACACATTCATTGTCACCATGTAGGAACCATTTATTTGCTGGCCCTTCAGCAGGTTTTCAGAGGCTGTAAATTGCACACAAGAAGATTACCCACTTTTTGTCCAAGGAGCTGGTAATGGATTTGAACCACCAGAGAACTGCTGCTTTCGCAGTAGCAATCAATATATGTCTCTATGGACAAAGTGAACAGAGCCACTAGATTGGGGGGTACAGGGCTGCAGGTATGGGACACATCAAGCCCCATGAAACATGTGTGTTCCATGACACATACTTATGCTATACAAAGATTGAAACTTAACTAGACCTTGGTATTCATTTCATTAAATCTGGCCTTCCTGAATGTAGCTCACTACCCAAGTTATGGCCAAACCAGTGCTACAAGATGGTCCCTGGGCCACAGCTCTTGCTCCTGGCTTCCTCCTTGAGCACACCGACACCTCAACTCTGCCTACTGCCATAAGGCCACTTACCTTTGTCACATCTGGAACATTAAAGGTTTTCTTTGTGTGAGCCGCCCAGCCCACAATCCCAGTTTCCAGCGGAAACACCACTTCTCTGTCAGGAGTCACCAGGTCCTCCTCGAATTTGGAGGTGGCCGTGACGTTGAGCAGACGGGAGGCCACCTCGGGCGTGCCGTTGCGGGACCTGCAGATGAACATGCTGCAGCGGTCAGCGGACAGCAGCTGCGCCAACCTCTGCAGGGCCCGGTGGGCCACCAGCTCCATGGCGCACGCCTCCTCCTGCACCAGGCACAGCAGCTCCCAGCACACGGCGGCCTCCTCCACCCGGGTGAGCTCGGCCAGCGAGGCGCTGACCGGCCCAGGCCCAGTCCCCGACCCTGGGCTGTTCTGGAACATTTCTCCCAACACCTCCACCCGCAGCTTCCGGTCAAAGTAGTCCTTGGCAAAGCCAGGGTTGTCCTCGAGGTATTTCTCCACGGCATCTTGGCTGATCGTGCTCATCCTGCACTTGGCTTTGCAGGAATTTATTGGTCGACCCTTAGAGTGGTACCTGAGGCAAAGTGCCAGGAAAGGAATGCATCCTGATCAAAATAAGGGGGACCCCATGGAGACCCAAAAAGCCAGACAAAAATGGTGGCTCGGGAGATTTGAGAGTGCCCCAAGCGTTTGAGATGTGACAGAAGGTCCTGGCTTAGGGCGGGATTCAGGAAGCAGAGGATTAAAGAGTTGTTCAGGACACTAAGTCTCTAAGCATTAGGAGCGGGTAAGTCCTCAGAGAATCCCCTGCGCATCTTAGATCAGCCAAGCAAAGGGCAGGTTGAGGCATCTAACTGTAGAAAATAACCAAAGGCTGCTGCTGTCTTCAGCAAGAATCGCTGACGAAGCCATTGTCTCAATGGACAAACAGGATAGTTATATGCCACGGGGACTGTTGAGACCTTCCAAGTAACAGAAAAGAGCCAAACTTGGACTTGGTGCTGGAGCAGTGAACACAACAAAGCATTTGCCAATGACTCAAGCCCGATCAAGCCATAACTAAAGCAGTAAGGCATGTCAAGATAAGGGATCCCAAGAAAAAGTCAACCCATATAGCTGACAGCTGAGTTTTCTTGCCAAGCACGTTGTTTGGATTGTGTTTTCAATAGTAATAGCCAAGCATCATGCATTTTTTTTTTCCTTCTCCAAGGTACAGTCTGTTTGAATGCACTGGATAATAACTGTCTTGTCTGTTGCTAGGATCTGGGGTGCCTCAGGGCCTCCTGGAGTGGAAAAAGCACTTAACCACTACTTTGTTTTGTTGAATGTTCAGTTTATTAAGCTTTTATACCTATTAAGCATATATTTTCCAAATATTTAAACACAATTATGCAACTAATAAATCAAACTACACATTTCATAAACCAATTTCCCTGGCTACTTAATTGTTGATTTCTTTAGTCAAGGACATTTAAGCATTTCAATAAAGTTACAAGCCCACTATGATAAAGTCTAGTAAATGGAAAAAAACATACTAAGCATTGCAGTGACTTTAAAAACCACTGTATTGCCATGGCCACATTTAAATCTAGTTCAAAATAGCAACCCTGGGTCTTTCATTCTCTAAATATAATACATACTCTTCCTGAGTAGCAATACTCTGTTTTTTAAATAATGTGAACATTTAAAAACATTTTTAGTGAAATTTTATAAATCATATTGATTTTTCTTTCACTCATTAATACAAATTTTATATTACAATATTAATTGTTGTTAAGTGCTGTCGAGTCGCAGATGACTCATAGCGACCCTATGAACTAAAGACCTAAACACTTGTGTTCATAGTTTCCGGAGGCAAGCTATTTCAGAAGTGGATGCCACTCCTCCTTCAAAATAATATTAATTCTAATTGATCAATGTAATTAATTCATGACAATGTCTGATCAGCCTCTTATTGTATATTGTCCTTTGCTCAACTTACCTATTTATCAATTTTCACTCCCCTCTTTCTCCTTTCTCATCCTCTGCTAACCACCCAACAATGATTCTGTGTAACCCTTTATCTTTTTATAATAGTGATCTTAGATGTAATTTTCCTCTTGTGACTACGTAGTCAGGATTGGTGGAAGATCTATTAACAATCTGGACTAAGCAGATGACACAACCCTGCTTGCTGAAACTGAGGAGGACCTCATGCACTTGCTGCAGAGGGTCAAGGACTGCAGCCTTCAGTATGGACTGAGGCTCAATGTCAAGAAGACAAAGATTCTCACCACTGGACCAATTGGCAGCATCAGGATGGATGGCGAAGAGATTGAGATTATTCACAGCTTCAGTTTGCTCAGCTCCACAGTCAACACTCTTGGCACCAGCAGCCAGGAAATAAAAAAATGTATTGAGATGGGAAAGTCTGCTGTTAGGGACCTCTCTAGAGCAACAGTGTGTCTCTGGAGACTAAGGTGCGTCTGATACAGGCCATGGTCTTTGCAATTACTTGTTATGCATCAGAGAGTTGGACAATGACTAGGGAGGACAGAAGGAGAATTGACGCCTTTGAGCTGTGGTGCTGGAGAAGAGTATTGAAAGTACCATGGACTGCCAAGAAAACAAACAGATTCATCCTGGAGAGGATTAAACTGGGCTACTCCTTGGAGGCAAGGATTCTGGGGCTTCGTCTGACATACTTTGGACATGTTGCAAGGAGGGACAGGTCCTTGGAGAGGGACATCATGCTTGGGAGGGTGGAGGGACAATGTAGGAGGGGAAGACTCTTTATGAGGTGGATTGATTCAGTGACTGGGGTAATCGGGATGGGTGTGTCAGAGGCAGTTCAGTTGGCACAGGATAGAGCAGGGTTTAGGGCTGCTGTACATAGGGTCGCTATGAGTCGCAAGCCACTCGAGGGCACATAACAACAACAACAACAACAACAGATGTAATTTTCCTCTTGTGACTACGTAGTCACTCAGCATAATTTGTTTTAGATTCATTCATGTTGTGTATTGCTTTATTAAATTTTAATTGGTTTTTAGTGATGTCTAATACTCAGTTGTGTGAATGTCCCATACTTTCTTTAGCCATTTGTCCATTGAAAGACACTTGGATTGTTTTCAACTTTTCACTATTGTAAATATGCTTCAACAGTGGCATCCACTTCCTAAACGACATGACTCTGGAAACTCTATGATAGTTATAGAAAGGCCTTTTGTTCATAGGGTCGCTGTGAGTCATGCTCAACTTGACGGCAATCAACAACAATATATATATGTATCAGTTTGTGTCTTAACTCTATTACTTTATCGTATTGTACATTTATTCCCAAATTTCAAAGGAAGTTAAGTGACAATTCTCTCACAAAAGGCAAAAATAAAAATAAAAAAAATCAAACAACCAAATGGTTGAGGTTTCAGGTTCTAGGTCAAGGATTGAGAAAATTTTTTGTGGAAACATGGTTTCCTTGTGGGAACAGAACTCAAACTGGTGTTAATTGAGCTGTCTTCCTTCTCATGGTCCATGCTGACTTGATACTTCAAAAAGCCTTTGGAGACTTACACCTTTTCTTGTACTTTTCTGTGTCATGCTCACCTTTAGTCTCAGGAGAGACTTCCTCAGATTACAATTTCTTTTAGAACACCTTTTTATCATCTCACTGTACTCAGGGCTGATTAGATGTTTATCTCCCAGGAGAAAGGGATTGAATTGGCCAAGTTTCTTGTCATACTATTTTCCCCATCAACATCTGGTAACAATTTGGAGCATCCTTTCTCACAAATTATTTTGTATGACCCATAGTACAGCTTCTAATTCTCCTAAAAGCATGTGGTATACTCACAGTTTTATCCTAGCCTCCCTTTCTAAATATACAGAAGCCGGGCGGGGTGGGGGATATTTATATTACATAGAAGAGGGTCCTGGTAGCATAGACTGTAGAGAGCTGCTCTGCTAACTCAAAGCCACACTCAAAGCAGCTCCACGGGAGAAAGATATGCACTCTCCTCCCATGTGATTTACAGCCTCAGAAAACCAGTGGAGTGCCAGCTGTGATTCTGTCCCAAATCCATGACAATGAGTCGTATTTTATAGAAAGAAGCCTCACTGGCATAGTGAGTTACACACTGGGCTGCTAACTGAAGGCTTGGCGGTTCGGGTCCACCAGCATTTCTGAGGGAGAAAGACGGCACAGTCTCCTTCTGTAAGGATTTATAGCCTCGGAAACCCACTGGAGAAGCCCCATCAGTCAGAATCAACCAGATGTGGTCTCATTTCTATTACATAGATACACAATTAGTAGAAATACCAAAATATATATACATGTTAATACTTACCTATTCATGAAAACTAATTAAAAAGCAAAACATATTCTATTATAGTCAATATTCTTTGGTTTTTCTAACTACTACTTGAATAGTCATTCATTCATTTTTTTTCCAACAAATATCTGTTGATTGTCCATTATAGGGAATGTACTTTACCAGTTACCATGGTAGACACTTGTCCCCTCTGTTTCTTCTTTCCTTCCAGTTATGTCCAAAAATCTATATCCAAATCCACTGCTATCAATTCATATCTGATTCATAGAGACCCTCCATAGGATTTCTGAGACTGTAAATTTTAATGAGAGGTTCCTGTCCATTTTTATATCCTGAGGAGAAGCTAGTGGATTTGAACTGACAACCTTCTGATTAGCAGCACAAAACACAGTGCACTATGCTACCAGGACACTTGTCTTGTTATATAGTAGGATTATCCTTCTCTGACTTGCCTGTTCTTGGGTAGAATTGTGTTCCTAGTTATGAATTGTAGTTATGAATGGTTCTCATGCTATCTTTTGAACTAAATTGATAAAATTAACTAAAGCTTTATAACCATTGAAAAATTTCACTGAAATTATTACTTTGATCCTTCCTACCTGGAAACATTGGCTAACTAGTGATTTCATTTTCAACCATTTTAGCATCTTATAAACACAGTTTGAAGATAAAGTGGTTTCAGTGTCCTTGGTGTGTTTTTTTCCCTCTCTCTCTCTCTTGGTCTCTTTGTTGGGAAGCAGAAATAAATGTCAGTTTGTGTAAAATTAAGCTGATTGGAAATGTTTAAACAACAACACGACAATAGCTTTGAAGGTACAGACATAAAATTCAGGTACCAAGTCTTCTTTCAATTGTATTAAAATGAGGAGGGTTTTTCCCCTCCAACCTCTCCTAGAAATTAACAACTTGCTTGCTGCTCTATTAATTGAAGTGACATCAACTTTCTATTATAAGTAGCATCTTAAGCCAATGAAAGTCTAGTTTTCATTCATATTAAATCAATCACCAGTGGAACCCAGGCTATTGGAGAATCCATCATCTTTTAATATTTGGCTTCCAAATGTACTTCAGATGTAGACATCACTCAGAAGATGGGGGGAAAGAGAAAGCCTGGGATATTCAATTAATATTTTTTTTTAATGAATGTTGTCTGGAAGTGACAAATAGTACTTCTGTCCACACTCCATTGGGCAGAACTTAGGCACTTAAACCTGCAAAGGGATGGGCATGTGGCTGTCACTGTCAGGACAGCACCTTCCCAACAGAAGTTATACAACTATGCAAGCAGT